AAAGTAGTTTTATTTTTAAAGATTTTTTTTATTGAGTAATGAAAAGCACATCGACATAATAATGGTCATGTAGTGCTGGGGACAAGTAAGACAGACAGAAAGAAACAACAGAAGGAACGTAACGAAGTATAATAAGACCTACCAATAATGACGCCTTAAAACACCCGCCACATAGAGTAGTTTTTCACCCAGGTAATGCATTCCTCAAATATTTATCGAACCTAGAGCCAAAAGAAAGACGAAGTTTCGGTGCTGAAGCACATTCGAATATTACGCTAACAGCTGTTAATAATTATTATATTTATTGCACTGCATTAGACGGATTGGCCTCATTGTGAGCGCCCAGCTGTGACAGTATCCCTTTTTCTGCGAATTAAAGAAACAGAATCAATTTCATAAAGCACATATGTTTGTGCTTTGTGTCAAAACTATAAAGTGTTATTTTCTATTTTTGTGTAGGTGTTTTTTGCATCTCCATCGAACTGTATATCATTATTATTATAGCAATGTGCTTAAGATTAAAATGAGAAGTAAAGATGTAGCAGCATTTATTAAAAGACTCGTAATATTATGACTTCATGTAACAATAAATACTACTGTTTTGAGGATGTTTTAGTTGTGGTGGGTTGGGTTTTTTTATTGCTTTTTTTTCTGAGGAGCGGAGTCAATTGGAAAAAGAAACATGAGCCATGACTGTCAAAAAAGCGATACAACATTGGCCTCGGCCAGCAACAAACAAGGTGCTGGCCAACAGGCCATGGTTGTTAACGGCCCTTGTTCTGTCAGAGAACACGTTAAAGGGACAAGAAAACCCGAGGAGAAGGCCCAATCAATCTCATTGACAGTGAGGTTATACCTGTTCATTTGCATTCTGAGCGCCAGTTTGCTCTTCTCGACGCCTAGAGCTGGAGATCTGACGAATTACTGAGAGTCAGAATTGGCTTGGGTGGCAGATCTTATGGAATTTGCGGTCATTCATCAAGTGAGCGAGTTAACTCTACGAGCACTGCATGGTTTCATAATACATCAGTGTTCTTATATGGTACGCCATTTCATAATTTGTTCAGTTTTAGTACGAGTTTTAGTACAGCACTTGCCATAGTAAGGGCCAATCTGGGCTGAGATGGATACAACTTTCCAGCAGAAAGACTCAGATACCCGATAAAAATTCCCACCTCACGTGGATCGAACTCAGGTCTTTTGCGTGATATAGTGAAGCGTCTAATGTCTTATAATGTAAGCCATTGCCTGCTCTTGTTGTTTACCCCCGCCCTCCCCCCCAACCCCCCAAATAAAACCCAACAACAACCCCTAAACAACAACCAATTCTAGTCAAGATTTGTATTCTTCATTCATTCATTTTTATTGAAATGGAATTACATAATATTTCGGAGTTTAATTAAATTACTCGTTTTCTATTTCGGGAATGTGACTCTCTGATAACATTATAAAACATGACGTCATAATTTTTTGGAAGTAATAATATGCACGTTACTGCGTCTAACACTTTCTGGCATACCGGCAAACATCTTTTGGGTTTCCCCAACTTATTTTAAGCTGGAATGTTCCTAGTTCATTAGTTTCATATGTTTTCCCTTTGTATGTAATTTAGTAATGCCAGTGCCGACTCGACGAACAGTCGAAATGAAAGTGGAAAGAAGAACAAAGCAATTACCCGCAAAGATAAACATACAGCAGACGTAAGGGCAAATATATATTATTTTTAAAAATCTCATATTGCTTCAGTTTTGTGATGTTTCACGGCGGTCTGACCCTAACCTTAACCATAAACATCAATATTATTTATCCACTTATATAAATATATATATATTATATTACATAC